TATATCACTGGTATGTTTTGCTTACTATCCATTGATCACATGAAACTATCCATTCATCATTTAGAACTAAGTGCCCAGAATTTGGTAATTTGGCCAATTTTACCCTTAATCAGTAAATTACAATTTAAAAACAGTCCAACTCAAACATTGTAGGCATTGCAAGCACTAAAGCAACCTTCCTTGTGTTCATTAATCACATCCCCAGGACTCTCCTATATAAAACTTGACCTCCATTTTGAATGCATATCAAGAATTTATTTTTTCCTGTTTCTTGGTTAAAAAAACATAACCAAGATTGCTTTGTTGTAGTTTAGGCCCTCCCAATAATTGATACAGACCTAGTAAAAACCCAGAAAACCTACTACAGGGAAGGGATAAGGGGGAAGGGGGTTATGAGGAATCCTACCCTTCCCTAGATAGATTACCACAAAAAAAAAAAAAATTGCTACATTGAGGCCTATTTCAGATCACTTCTGGTCTGAAATGTTCCAGAATCCTTTCCAGTTCACTAGCGTATCTTTTGATCTATTATTTGCAAGCAAGAAATGGCCAGTAAAACCATAACCACCCTCAAAAATGGCCCAAAGTTCCTAATTTCACCCAAACACAAGGGCAGAGGTTAGCTTGCCTGTGGTAAGACAGTGATGAAGTGATGGTAAAAGTGTTTCTTCTTTTTTGGGATCACCCTACCTTGGTGCGATATGGCTGGCGTGTTAAAAAAAAAAGTGAACCATAGAATTGATGCAATTAAAAAGGTGGGTGTCACAGTGAGTCATATTTGGAGACGATTTTATCCGTGGGGGCAAAAAGGCCTTAAAGAGTGCAGACATAGCTCCTTTGCATAAGGGAGGTAGTAGGGCACTAGCTAAAAATTACAGACCAGTAGCCCTAACCTCTCACATCGTAAAAACTTCGTAACAGTGATGAGATGGCAGGTTACAAATTTCATGGACCAGCACAATCAACATAACCCGAACCAGCATGGTTTTAGAGCAGGATGATGATGTCTGTCACAGCTGCTGAGCCATTATGACAGAATTACGGAGGCACTGGAAGACGACCAAAACGCAGATGTGATTTACACAGATTTTGCAAAGGCGTTTGACAAATGCGATCATGGAGTGATAGCGCATAAAATGAAGGCCATGGGCATTATAGGGAAGGTAGGCAGATGGATTTTTGGTTTCCTAACACACACAACACAAATAGTAGTAGTGAACAGGGCAAGATCCAACATCAGCGAGGTCAAAAGCTCAGTGCCCCAAGGCACTGTCCTGGCACCTCTGCTGTTCCTCATCCTCATAGCAGACATAGACAAAAACACCCAGCACACTTTTGTTTCATCATCTGCAAATGACACTAAAATAAGCATGAAAGTCAGTACTGTAGAAGACACTGAAAAGTACAGGAAGACATAAACGGGGTTTTCCAGTGGGCAGTGGAGAACATGACATTCAATGGTGATAAGTTTCAGCAGCTTAGGTATGGAAAGAATGAAGAACTCAAAAGGAGCACTATATACAAAGCTCAATGGGGTCACCAAATAGAATGTAAGGAACACGCATAAGACCTAGGAATAATTATGTCAGCAGACCTTTCTTTTAAAGACCATAACAAGACAAAGATATTGGCAGTTTGGAGGGATATGTTGTGTATCTTATATGTGTATGCTTCTAGACTGTTGTATTCTGAGCACCTCTGCAAAAACAGTGGTAATGTGCGAGTGTGGTGAAAGTGTTGAATGATGATGAAAGTATTTTCTTTTTTGGGATTTTCTTTCTTTTTTGGGTCACCCTGCCTCGGTGGGAGACGGCCGACTTGTTGAAAAAAAAAAAAAAAAAAAAAAAAAGACAAAGGTCACGACAGCCAGGAAGATGACGGGGTGGGTATTGAGAACTTTCAAAACAAGGGAAATAATGCTAGTTCTCCCTCACTAAGAATATTGCTCAGTGCTGACAGCCCCGTTCAAGGCAGGAGAAATATCGGAGCTGGAACAAATACAGAGATCGTTTACGGCTCACATTGAGCCAGTAAAGCACCTTAACTACTGGGAATGCCTGCAAGTCTTGAACATGTACTCATTGGAGCAGAGGAGAGAGAGGTACATGATAATATATACCTGGAAGGTACTTGAGGGCTTGGTCCCAAATTTGTACGCTGCCATAACAACATACTGGAGTGAGAGATATGGGAGGAAATGTAAAATAAACCCAGTGAGGAGCAGGGGTGCGGTGGGGACAATAAGGGAACGCTGTATCAATATCTAGGGTCCCAGACTTTTCAATATCTTACCAGAAGATATCAGAAACACTGCTGGAGCAAGTGTAAAAGCCTTCAAGAGGAAACTGGACAAGTATCTAGATCAACTAGGCTGTGATGGATATGTGGGGCAGCGGGCCTCCAGCAGCCACAGGCTGGTTGATCAGGCAAGTACCAGACGAACCTGGCCTATGGCCGGGCTCAGAGAGTAGATAAACTCGCAAAACTCTTCAAAGGTATATCAAAGATACCAACACTGATGTATGTTTTGAAAGTTGCAATGAGGAGGAGGTTTTAGGCAGTAGGAGTATTGTATTTGAGGGCAATGTGTGGTGTGAATATTATGCAGAAACTTTGGAGTTTGGAAAGCAGGATAGCTGGATGTGAATCCCTGGGGGTGGAAAGTTTAGTTCCCACTCTCTGGAGGGCCAGGGATGTTGTGGTTTGGAAGGTCATCTGAACTGTAATGTTGACACCTTTCTGGCAAGACAGTGATTGAATGAATCAGTGAAAGTGTTTTCTTCTTTGTCTGATTGCCCTAACTTAGTTTGAGGTGGCCTGAGTGCTTAACCCTTTCACTGTCAAGACTCCTGATCCTGAACTCGCTCTCATTGTCGAAAAATTTTCAGAAAAAAAAAAATCTTAGGAAATGATAGAGAATCTTTTCCTGATGGTAATGACACCAAAAGTACAAAATTTGATGGAGCCCTATTTTTTGTCATTTCCATTGTTCTAGTCAACCAGACTTGTAGCTATTTCTCTAGAACTCTGTTTGTTCTATCGATTGAGTGCGAGAAACCGCCCATTTACCTATTTCAACTACCCAATGAAGTGGTCAGAAATTGGCAGTTTGGCCAATTTCACGCAAATTTCAAAAGATGCCAATTTCAAAATAGGATCCGGAATAAACAATGCAGACATTTCTGTCACTAAAATATTTTCTCTGTTCATTAGTCATGTCTCCAGGCCCCTCTTGTATTACTCTTAATTTCCATTTTGAATTTTTATTCACACAAAAAATAGAAGATTTACTGTTATGCAGACTGTTGCATTATTATATAATTGTATAAATAATGTCAACCCATTTGTGACTGCGTATTAGACTGGCCAGTTGGACACTCTTGAACGTCTGGTAAAATCGAACATTTCCGCAATTTTGAGCTCAATTTCAAGGTACTTTTAATTGTGAAACCTATCAAAATCATCTCTATTTCTGTAATATATCTTCCATTCTATCAACTTAGACCAAGAAAACGAGAATACAATGATAAATACCGTACAAAAATACAATTCAAAGGTGGTGTTTTAATCCAAAAACATGGTCAGAGTTTTTTTTTTTTTTTCAATATGCGCTGCGTGCTGCAGGATTTTTTTTATACTACGTATACTGACCACGCAGACCCATTCTCTCACATGTAGGTCTACCAGCCAGTAGAATTTTGGGTTATAAATGTCACCAACACTGGCTTGTAAGCCGTACCTATAAGTCACTGACAGTGAAAGGGTTAAAAAAAAAAAGGTATCCATTGTTACGTGTGGTGCTTTTTGTGATATGGCAGAACGAGATCCCTAAATGGCTAATAACCATTAGCTTTTAGGAAAATTAGTGGTTATTTTTTACATTAATGGGCTATGTTATTAATTGAAGTACTTTCATCTAAAAATCAATGATTTGCTTCGAAAAGATATTAATATTCTGTGCTGAGAAGAAATTCCAGAAGAGCACAAACATAACTTCACTCATTCACTGTAGCTTAACGTTTACACCCATATTGTTATATTTTTGTCATTAGCATATTCTGTGTAGTATAACCAAATTGCTATTAAAAACTAATCTAATAGCATCTAAAAAGTATTCCTTGTCGAGGGACTGATTTATTATAAATTGCCCTAAAAAGTGTTGTAAGTCGGATTTACACACTTAGCTGTGTGTTACAACTGGCTTAGGTAATTGATTTTTTATTAATCATCATAGTGAATGTGATAGTAATAAGGGTGAATTTGGAAAGGCAGCTAGCATATTACAGATGTTGGAAGGGCAGCTAGCTTATTACAAATACTAGAAATGCAGCTAGCATATTACAGATGTTGGAAAGGCAGCTAGCATATTACAGATGTTGGAAAGGCAGCTAGCATATTACAGATGTTGGAAAGGCAGCTAGCATATTACAGATGTTGGAAAGGCAACTAGCATATTACAGATGTTGGAAAGGCAGCTAGCATATTACAGATGTTGGAAAGGCAGCTAGCATATTACAAATGTTGGAAAGGCAACTAGCATATTACAGGTGTTGGAAAGGCAGCAAACATATTACAGAGGTTGGAAAAGCAGCTAGCATATTGGAGATGTTGGAAAGGCAGCTAGCATATTACAAATGTTGGAAAGGCAGCTATCGTATTACAATTTGAAAGGCAGTTAGCATATTACAGATGTTGGAAAGGCAGCTAGCATTTTACAGATGTTGGAAAGGCAGCAAGCATATTACAGATGTTAGAAAGGCAACTAGCATCTTACAGATGTTGGAAAGGCAGCTAGCTTATTATAAGTAGAGGGATGTAAAAAGGTGTCATAAGTGAGTCACAGCGGGCTTAAAATTTGTTTAGGTAGGCCATTGTGGCAATGTAATAATTGAGAAACAGATTCGTTGTATTTTACTAGAAAATAAAATTTTAAATGACTCCCTTTTAGATATTTTCAGGGTTTGCTGGTCAATAATTAAATAATTGTATCATCTCTTCAGGATCAACAAAGATCAGAAATAAAGCGAAGACAGGAAGAAATGAGACGGCAAGAGGAACTTAGACGACAGCAGCAGCAGCTTCAACAGCAACAACTTCAACAGAAACAGCAGGAAGAGGCCAAAAGGAAGGAAGAAGCAAGGAGACAAGAAGAAGCTAGGAGACAAGAAGAAGAGAGAAAAAGGCAAGAGGAAGAGAGGAGGAGGTTGGTATAAATTTAAATATTTAAGGAAAATTGAAATTGACATGATTAGGCAAATTTAGTGTGTATTTGGTTTTATATTACTGATTTTAATTAATCTAATAGTGTAATTTAAAATGTCATATTGGACTTATATTAAAGATTATTAATTAGTTAAACAGTTTAGACAGTTAATTGGGAAGTGGAAAAGAACTTTTCCTCCATAAGCCATGCGTGTCATAAGAGCAACTAAAATGCCGGAAGCGAGGGGTTAGTAACCCGTCTTTCTGTATAAATTACTAAAATTAAAATCATGACAGAAATATCTAAAGCAAGGGGGAGGGGATATAGTGTTGGAGTGTTTGGTATTTCTGTTTAAGAAACAGACTTTCACCAGCATCAAGGCACTGCCCCCCCCCCCCCCCCCTTTCTACACAATCTTGATAAGGCAGCAGTTATGCTGCCATTTACTCATTATCTGCATTATTCTTTGCCAAAGGTTGATACAAATGCTACACTTCTATACATAAAAAGTAACAAATAAGGTTTCCCTGAATCTCTTCATAAATGTTCCTGCACTCACAATCCAACAGTGCATCACACTATGACAATCACTTTTCTCTGCATGCTCCAATCTAACACAATCAAGCCTCCTTCACCTCACAATCCCTTTCTGGGATGACCCCTACACCTTCCCTTCACTTTGAATTTATACCCCCTTTTTGCCATCCTATTTTATTCCATCCTTTCTAAACAGCTAAACCTCCTCTGCCCTTTGAATTACAGTAAACCTCTATATCCCTGGATTCACTTTCCACAGTTTCAGTTATCCACGATTTACCATGGCCTAAAAATAACCCTTAATTTTGCTTAGCCCTTACAGGATCCAGACTCCTGATCTGAGAATTGTTCTCAGGGTCCAAGAATTAAAAAAAGCTATATATATGCTTGAGGCATTATGAAAAATGAAAGGGGGTAAAGCAGCTAAAACTGACGGGATCATGACAGAGATGTTAAAAGCAGGGAGGGGGGATATAGTGTTGGAGTGGTTGGTATTTTTGTTTAATAAATGTATTAGAGAGAGGAAGGTACCTAGGGATTGGCAGAGAGCATGTATAGTCTCTTCATATAAAGGAAAGGGGGACAAAAGAGATTGTAAAAATTATAGAGGAATAAGTTTACTGAGTATACCAGGAAAAGTTTATGGTAGGGTTATTATTGAAAGAATTAGAGGCAGGACACAATGTAGAATTGCGGATGAGCAAGGAGGTTTTAGAGTGGGTAGGGGATGTGTAGATCAAGTGTTTACATTGAAGCATGTATGTGAACAGTATTTAGATAAAGGTAGGGAAGTTTTTATTGCACTTACGGATTTAGAAAAGGCATATGATAGAGTGGATAGGGGAGCAATGTGGCAGATGTTGCAAGTATATGGAATAGGTGGTAATTTACTAAATGCTATTAAGAGTTTTTATGAGGATAGTGAGGCTTAGGTTAGGGTGTGTAGAAGAGAGGGAGACGACTACTCGGTAAAAGTAGGTCTTTGACAGGGATGTGTAATGTCACCATGGTTGTTTAATATATTTATAGATTGGGTTGTAAAAGTAGTAAATGCTATTGTGGAAATAAATGGTATAAAATACTGACACAATGGAATGGAATGGAAGAACACTGTAGAAGGTCTGCTTACAAACTTATCCAATCTCCCTTCCAAGCTACCCAAGATTTTAGACTCTATAACCCCACTCAGTACATCATCAGATGCAGCATTCTCCACCTGACCACAGCATTCTGAACCTGACTATAAATACTCGCGTACCTTCCACCCCAGGTAGATCTGTTTGTGACTTGAAAAAGCCCACTGTGTGGGCGAAACATTGTCAATAAAGGATCACATTATACTGCATGTGTGTTTATATTTCCATAAATGCTAGGGTGTTGGGGAGAGGAGTGGGATTAAATTATTGGGAATCAAATACAAAATAGGAATTGACAGCTACTTTTTGCTGATGATACTGTGCTTATGGGAGATTCTAAAGAAAAGTTGCAAAGGTTAGTGAACGAGTTTGGGAGTGTGTATGAAGGTAGAAAGTTGAAAGTGAACATAGAAAAGAGTAAGGTGATGAGGGTATCAAATGATTTAGATAAAGAAAAATTGGATATCAAATTGGAGAGGAGTATGGAAGAAGTGAACGTTTTCAGATATTTGGGAGTGACATGTCAGCAGATGGATGTATGAAGGATGAGGTTAACCATAAAATTCATGACGGAAAAAAGGTGAGTTGTGCATTGAGGTATACATGGAGACAAAAAAAAACATTAATTATTTATGGAGGCAAAGAAGGGAATGTATTAAAGTATAGTGGTATGAACACACTTATATGGGTGTGAAGCTTGGGTTGTAAATGCTGCAGCGAGGAGGCGGTGATGTCATGTCTAAGGACAATGTGTGGTATAAATACTATGCAGAGAATTCAGGGTGTGGAAATTAGGAGGTGTGGAGTTAATAAAGGTATTAGTCAGAGGGCTGAAGAGGGTTTGTTGAGGTTGTTTGGTCATTTAGAGAGAATGGATCAAAGTTGAATGACATGAAGAGTATAAATCTTTAGGGGATGGAAGGCAGGGTAGGGGTCGTCCTCGAAAAGGTTGGAGGGAGGGGGTAAAGGAGGTTTTGTGGGTGAGGGGTTTGAACTTCCAGCAAGCATGCACGAGCTTGTTAGATAGGAGTGAATGGAGGCGAATGGTATTTGGGACCTGATGATTTGTTGGAGTGTGAGCAGGGTAATATTTAGTGAAGGGATTCAGGGAAACTGGTTATTTTTATATAGCTGGACTTGAGTCCTGGAAATGGGAAGTACAATGCCTGCACTTTAAAGGAGGGGTTTGGGATATTGGCAGTTTGGAGGGATATGTTGTGTATCTTTATTCGTATATGCTTCTAAGCTGTTATGTTCTGGGCACCTCTGCAAAAACAGTGATTATGTATGAGTGAGGTGAAACTGTTGAATGATGAAAGTATTTCCTTTTTGGGGATTTTCTTTCTTTTTTGGGTCACCCTGCCTCAGTGGGAGACGGCCAACTTGTTAAAAAAAAAAAATTATTCACACCAAAAAATAGAAGATTCACTGTTATGCAATATTGTAATAATTGTACAACGCTTTTGTGAACATAAATTAAACTCACCTGTTGACATGTATTGGACATGTGACATGATTTGTTACTTGAACATCGGCAAAATTTGAGCATTTCCATTACTTTGTGGTTAATATCAAGCTGTTTTCAATTCTAAAACCGATCAGTTATCTCTATTTCTGTAATATATCTTCCATTCTATCAAATGAAACCAAGAAACCATGAATACAACTGTAAAACCCACATGAAAATACACTTCAAAGTCGCTGTTTTAATCCAAAAACACAGTTGCAGTTTTTTTTCTCATGCATTATGTGCTGCAGGATTTGTTTTATATGGTGCACACTTGCCACAAATGCATATCTAGGCCCAAATTTACTGCTCATAGCTTATCTGAGTGAGCTGAGCTTGCGATGTAGTACTATGACACGGACCCTTGCTTCAAAGCCGTAGAACCACGGCACGCCCTCAAAGGGTTAAAAAAAAGATTATCGTTGGATAGTGAGGCTCAAGTTAGAGTATGTAGGAAAGAGGGAAATTATTTCCCAGTAAAAGTAGGCCTTAGACAAGGATGTGTGATGTCACCGTGGTTGTTTAATATATTTATAGATGGGGTTGTAAGAGAAGTAAATGCGAGGGTCTTGGCAAGAGGCGTGGAGTTAAAAGATAAAGAATCACACACAAAGTGGGAGTTATCACAGTTGCTCTTTGCTGATGACACTGTGCTCTTGGGAGATTCTGAAGAGAAGTTGCAGAGATTGGTGGATGAATTTGGTAGGGTGTGCAAAAGAAGAAAATTGAAAGTGAATACAGGAAAGAGTAAGGTTATGAGGATAACAAAAAGATTAGGTGATGAAAGATTGGATATCAGATTGGAGGGAGAGAGTATGGAGGAGGTGAATGTATTCAGATATTTGGGAGTGGACGTGTCAGCGGATGGGTCTATGAAAGATGAGGTGAATCATAGAATTGATGAGGGGAAAAGGGTGAGTGGTGCACTTAGGAGTCTGTGGAGACAAAGAACTTTGTCCATGGAGGCAAAGAGGGGAATGTATGAGAGTATAGTTTTACCAACGCTGTTATATGGGTGTGAAGCATGGGTGATGAATGTTGCAGCGAGGAGAAGGCTGGAGGCAGTGGAGATGTCATGTCTGAGAGCAATGTGTGGTGTGAATATAATGCAGAGAATTCTTAGTTTGGAAGTTAGGAGGAGGTGCGGGATTACCAAAACTGTTGTCCAGAGGGCTGAGGAAGGGTTGTTGAGGTGGTTCGGACATGTGGAGAGAATGGAGCGAAACAGAATAACTTCAAGAGTGTATCAGTCTGTAGTGGAAGGAAGGCGGGGTAGGGGTCGGCCTAGGAAAGGTTGGAGGGAGGGGGTAAAGGAGGTTTTGTGTGCGAGGGGCTTGGACTTCCAGCAGGCATGCGTGAGCGTGTTTGATAGGAGTGAATGGAGACAAATGGTTTTTAATACTTGACGTGCTGTTGGAGTGTGAGCAAAGTAACATTTATGAAGGGGTTCAGGGAAACCGGCAGGCCGGACTTGAGTCCTGGAGATGGGAAGTACAGTGCCTGCACTCTGAAGGAGGGGTGTTAATGTTGCAGTTTAAAAACTGTAGTGTAAAGCACCCTTCTGGCAAGACAGTGATGGAGTGAATGATGGTGAAAGTTTTTCTTTTTCGGGCCACCCTGCCTTGGTGGGAATCGGCCAGTGTGATAATAAAAAAAAATAACTTTGTGCCTATCCTTATAATGTATTCATACATTTTAAATTGTATGTAGTACGGTAATGTGTATTTTAGTACAGGAGAGCCCTGTTTATACAGCAAGTTAGGTTCTGGGCTGCTACTGTAAAACAAATATTGCTGTAAAATGAAACAGGCATGTAAAAGCCTGATAACATGTTTACAATATCATATATTATCTGAGCAATAGAGCTAGGCCTTAAAAGTGCATATATAGTACACATATATTACTTTCCTTAAATATTTTCATCCTTAGCTTATAGTGAGGGGTGAATATATTTGTTGTAGAAAGTCTAAATGAAGGATGGATATAATTGAAAACAACTGCATTGGCGAAATGCGTTAAAGCGGGGCCTGCCTGTAATGTTGTATAGAAAATTTATTGTACTTTAGATTTATTGATCTGTCATTTTTCAGACGCGAGGAAGAGGAAGAATCACGGCAACAAGCACACATTCAGGAAGAGATGCGGAGGATTTCACTAGAGGAAGAACGAAGGCATATGCAGCAGGTGAGGAATGCTTCTCTGATGCTTTGAATAGATAAGTGCTTTCATATTAACTCTTGTATTCAAAACACCCTGCCTTTGAAGTCTTTCAATCTTTATGCCTTGAAACGTAGCCAAGACAGATACATTATAATCTTCACCTGGAAAATTCCAGAGGGATTGGTTCCAAATCTGCACCCACAAATGATTCCTTGTAAAAGTAAAAGGCTTGGCAGATGATTCAAAATACCCCCCATAAAAAAGCAGGGGTGCAGTGAGTACACCAAGGAAAAACAAAAGTATGAAGGAAAGAAGATTTTTCAACACCTTCCATTCATATATAACTTGGAACCCCTAGTTATCTACAAGAATGAATTTAAATTCTATTCAGTAACTGATCATGTGGGCTGTGGTGCATACAGTAACTTTTCTGCATCTAGCACCAACAAATTGGTTGATCAGTCCTTCCACTGTGTGTGTGAGAGGGAGGAAGGGGTTGAACTTAGTGTTATAGAGGTGTTTTTAGTATACAGTAGGCATCCTAAATATGCATGCACTTGAACAGTTAACACAGAAAATGAGACTGTTTGCTATGTTCTATTATTTAATTTTTTTTTTTAACATGCCGACTGTCTCCCACCATCTCCACACCTAAACTGATACATATTTTATAGAATTACCCTTCTTCTTGATGCTCAACTTTCCACACATTTCTATAAAATTTTAAATCCAGTGAGTTTTCAGGCTAATTATGTTAATCCTTTGAGTGTCCAAGCCGTAATTCTGTGCCTTGTCCACAGGGTCCAAGAATTAAAAAAAAAATTATTTTTTCTTATGAAATGGCAGAGAATCTTTTTCTGAAGGTAACAAAACAAAAAGTACGAAATTTGTTGGAAAACTGATGAAGTTACACTATTGCGAATTTTACTGCGTCAGGGACATTTACACATTGGCGATTTTGCCCAGTTTGACTCCTATTTTAGACCAATTGCATTATTCCAGTTGACCAAATTCTTAGCTATTTTGCTAGTATCCTTTCTGTTTTATTGATTGAGCAAAGAAACTGCCCAGTCAACTATTTCAACTATCCAATAAAGTGATCAGAAATTGGTAATTTGGCCAATTTCACACAAAGCTCAAAATATTCCAGTTTCAAAATAGGGTCCAGAATAAACAATGCCGGCATTCCTGGCACTGAAATAACATTTCCTCTATTTATTAGTTGTTTCCAGGCTTTACAGGTGAATTCCATTTTTTTTTTATTCATATAAAGAATTTTTATTCACTAAAAATAGAAGAATTACTGTTTTGCAATATTGTAATAATTGTATAAATAATATCAGTGCATTCATGAACATGTATTAAATCCACCAATTGACATGTATGCATGATGTCATTTGTTTTACTCTTGAACATCGGCAAAAATTGAACATTTTTGCTACTTTGAGCTCAATTTTAAGTTATTTTCAGTACTAAAAGCAATCAAAATCATCTCTACTTCTGTAACATATCTTCCATTCTATCAAACGAGGGCAAGAAACTGTGAATACAACCGTAAAGCCCACATGAAAATACACCGCAAAGTCGCTGTTTTAATCCATGAACATAGTTGCTGTTTTTTTTCATTATGCACTGCGTGCTACAGGATTTGATTTATTTGGTACATACCACATAGATCCATTCTCTCATATCTAGGCCCAAATTTACCACTCGCAGCTTATCTGAGTGAGCTGAGCTCATGGGGTAGAATTACGGCTTGGATCCTGGTTTCAAAGCCGTAGAACTACAGGACTGTCCCTCAAAGGGTTAAAGTGTTGAGAAATCACCGTTATTTAGCTTATTCTTTGTCTTTGGCAGTATAGCAAGGGGCACCATTTTCTACATAAAAGTTGCCCTGGCATTTTTCTAATCCGTCAACCAAATACAGTACATAGTCTGCTATAAGCATATGTATGGGCGTGCATATTTAGATTTTCTTCTAGTTGGAAGAGGAAGAGAGGCAGCGACAAGCTGAGGAAGAAGATCGCCGTCACCAGCATTTGTTACAGGAACACCTGAAAAACATTCTGCCTGCTTGGAATGCTACACCTCCAGTACCAACTCCTGAAGCCACACCTGCTCCGTCCCTCGCAGATATTCAGCGGGCACAAGAAGAGAAAGAGAGAAGGGTTAGTTTTTACTCAGTACTGTATTAAGTAGTTTTAAGTCCTGTAATAATGAGTGGAATATATTATTTTTATATATAATAATCAATAACAACACTGCGACTAGCCAAGAACTTGAACCCATGCTGCTTTGGCCTGCCTCATGGTGGGCGAAAACTCATGACGCCTTAATCCACTGGACCATACAATCCTTAAGAGTAGCGCATGTCCGTGGGTAGCGAGTACAACATCCAGTTCCACTGGATACGCTACTCTTAAGGATTGTATGGTCCTGTGGATTAAGGCGTCATGAGTTTTCGCCTACCATAAAGCAGGCCAAAGCAGCATGGGTTCGAGTCCTTGGCTAGTTGCAGTGTTGTTATTGATCAATACCACTCGTTCGGGGGCATAATAATATATAATAATGTCTTCAGTGGTTTGTGTGTGTGTGTGTGTGTGTGTGTGTGTGTGTGTGTGTGTGTGTGTAAGTGTGTGTAAGTGTGTGTAAGTGTGTGTAAGTGTGTGTAAGTGTGTGTGTGTGTGTGTGTAAGTGTGTGTAAATTTCACTGCAGTGTATCAAACTTTCTGGTTGATTGCATTGTTAAGTTTTGTAATATGTATATAATTCTTCCGTCTTGCAGTTATATATAAAAGTTTGTACATCACTTCTTTAGGGTCCCTCACAAATTAATATACGTATTTCAATGTATTGTGGTTCGTTTACTTATTTCATAGTTTTATTTATACAAGTCTTTGTGATATAAGTATGATTTGCAGTATATATAAATGCATGTAGACACCTTTAATGACCCTAATGTGCTCATCAAGATCAGTTGCTCAATTGGTGTGTTCCACAGTGGTGTGTTACCCAGTCATAATATTCTGTATTTAATTTTGTTTATTTTTTTCCAGTGAACTTTATGTATTGCTTCTCTTTCCTCCCAATCCCCTCTCCTATTTTTTGTTTTTTTTAACAAGTTGGCTGGCTATATAAAATAACCGGTTTCCTTGAATCCCTACTCAAATATTAACCTGCTCACACTCCAACAGCTCGTCAGGTCTCAAATACCATTCGTCTCCATTCACTCCTATCTAACACGCTCACGCACACTTGCTGGACGTCCAAGCCCCTCACCCACAAAACCTCCTTTACCCCCTCCCTCCAACCTTTTCGAGGACGACCCCTACCATGCCTGCCTTCCCCTACAGATTTATATGCTCTCCATGTCATTCCACTTTGGTCCATTCTCTCTAAATGACCAAACCACCTCAACAAACCCTCTTCAGCCCTCTGACTAATACTTTTATTAACTCCACACCTTCCCCTAATTTCCACACTCCGAATTTTCTGCATAATATTTACACCACACATTGCCTTTAGACAGGACATCTCCACTGCCTGCAACTGCCTCCTTGCTGCTGCATTCACAGCCCAAGCTTCACACCCATATAAGAGTGTTGGTACTACTATACTTTCTTACATTCCCTTCTTTGCCTCCATAGATAACATTTTTTGACTCCACATATACCTCAATGCACCACTCACCTTTTTTCCCTCATCAATTCTATGATTAACCTCATCCTTCATAAATCCATCCGCCGACACGTCAACTCCCAAGTATCTGAAAACATTCACTTCTTCCATACTCCTCCTCCCCAATTTGATATCCAGTTTTTCTTTATCTAAATCATTTGATATCCTCATCATCTTACTCTTTTCTATGTTCACTTTCAACTTTCTATCTTTACACACACTCCCAAACTCATCCATTAACGTTTGCAATTTTTCTTTAGAATCTCCCATAAGCACAGTATCATCAGCAAAAAGAACTGTGTCAATTCCCATTTTGTATTTAATTCCCCATAATTTAATCCTACCCCTCTCCCGAACACCCTAGCATTTACTTCTTTTACAACCCCATCTATAAATATATTAAACAACCATGGTGACATTACACATCCCTGTCTAAGACCTACTTTTACTGGGAAGTAGTCTCCCTCTCTTCTACACACCCTAACCTGAGCCTCACTATCCTCATAAAAACTCTCTACAGCATTTAGTAACTTAACACCTATTCCATATACTTGCAACATCTGCCATATTGCTCCCCTATCCACTCTATCATATGCCTTTTCTAAATCCATAAATGCAATAAAAACTTCCCTACCTTTATCTAAATAATGTTCACATATATGCTTCAATGTAAACACTTGATCTACACATCCCCTACCCACTCTGAAACCTCCTTGCTCATCTGCAATCCTACTTTCTGTCTTACCTCTAATTCTTTCAATTAAAACCGTACCATACACTTCCTGGTATACTCAGTAAACTTCCTCTATAATTTTTACAATCTCTTTTGTCCCCCTTCCCTTTATATAAAGGGACTATACCTGTTGCAGGTGTATGGTATATGAGGTAGGTTATTGAAAGCAGTGAAGAGTTTTTACGAGGATGCTGAGGCTCAAGTTAGAGTCTGTAGGAAAGAGGGAGATTATTTCCCAGTAAAAGTAGGCCTTATACAAGGATGTGTGATGTCACTGTGGTTGTTTAACCCCTTCAGGGTCCAAGGCCCAAATCTGAAGTGGTGCCCCAGTGTCCAAGAATTTAAAGAAAAAAAAATTTGTTATTTTTCCTTATGAAATGGTAGAGAATCTTTTTGTGAAGGTAATAAAACAAAAAGTGCGTAATTTGATGGAAAATTGACGAAATTATGCTCTCGCGAATTTTGATGTGTCAGCGATATTTACGAATCGGCGATTTTGCCGACTTTGACTCCCATTTTAGGCCAATTACATTATTCCAGTCAACCAAATTCCTAGCTATTTCACTAGTATTACTTCTATTCTATCGATTGAGCACAAGAAACCGCCAAGTCAACTGTTTCAACTACAAATTAAAGTGATCGGAAATTGTTAATTTGGCCAATTTAACACGAAGTTCAAAATATTCCAATTTCAAAATAGGATCCAGAATAAACAATGTAGGTATTCCTGGAACTAAACTAACATTTCCTCTGTTCATTAGTTACGTTTTGAGGCTTTACAAATAAATTCCATTTTTATTTTTTATTCACATAATGAATTTTTATTCACACCAAAAAAATAGAAGATTTACTGTTATGCAATACTGTTATAATTGTATAAATATCATCACCATATTTGTGAATGCATATTAGGCCCACCAGCTGGCATGTATTAGACGTGTGAGGTCATTTGTTTACTCTTGAATATCGGCAAAAATTTAACATTTCTGCTACTTTGAGCTCAGTTTCAAGCCATTTCCAGTGCTAAAACCAATCAAAATCATCTGTATTTCTGTAATATGTCTTCCATTCTATCAAATGAGACCAAGAAATCGCAAATACAGTGGACCCCCACATGACGATTACCTCCGAATGCGACCAATTATGTAAGTGTATTTATGTAAGTGCATTTGTACGTGTATGTTTGGGTGTCTGAAATGGACTAATCTACTTCACAATATTTCTTATGGGAACAAATTCGGTCAGTACTGGCACCTGAACATATTTCTGGAGTGAAAAAATATCGTTAACCGGGAGTCCACTGTACATCTATAAAAAACATACGAAAAACCACTGCAAAGTCGCTGTTTTAATCGAAAAATCATGATTTCAGTTTTTTTTCTCTCATTATACACAGCGTGCTGCAGGATCTGTTTTATGTAGTGCACACATACCACATAGATGTATTCTCTCATATATAGGCCCAAATGTACCTCTCACAGTTTATCAGAGTGAGCTGAGCTCATGACGTAGATCTACGGTTTGCACCCTGAACGTAAAGCCGTAGATCTACGGAACGGACCCTGAAAGGGTTAATATATTTATAGATGGGGTTGTAAGAGAAGTAAATGCAAGGGTCTTCGCAAGAGGCGTGGAGTTAAAAGATAAAGAATCACACACAAAGTGGGAGTTGTCACAGTTGCTCTTTGCTGATGACACTGTGCTCTTGGGGGATTCTGAAGAGAAGTTGCAGAGGTTGGTGGATGAATTTGGTAGGGTATGTAAAAGAAGAAAATTAAAAGTGAATACAGGAAAGAGTAAGGTTATGAGGATAACAAAAAGGTTAGGTCATGAAAGATTGGATATCAGATTGGAGGAAGAGAGTGTGGAGGAGGTGAATGTATTCAGATATTTGGGAGTGGACGTGTCAGTGCATGGGTCTATGAAAGATGAGGTGAATCATAGAATTGATGAGGGGAAAAGGGTTGGGGCGGTGCACTTAGGAGTCTGTGGAGACAAAGAACTTTGTCCTTGGAGGCAAAGAGGGGAATGTATGAGAGTATAGTTTTACCAGTGCTCTTATATGGGTGTGAAGCATGGGTGATGAATGTCGCAGCGAGGAGAAGGCTGGAGGCAGTGGAGATGTCATGTCTGAGGGCAATGTGTGGTGTGAATATAATGCAGAGAATTCGTAGTTTGGAAGTTAGGAGGAGGTGCAGGATTGCCAAAACTGTTGTCCAGAGGGCTGAGGAAGGGTTGTTGAGGTGGGTCGGACATGTAGAGAGAATGGAGCGAAACAGAATGACTTCAAGAGTGTATCAGTCTGTAGTGGAAGGAAGGCGGGGTAGGGGTCGGCCTAGGAAAGGTTGGAGGGAAGGGGTAAAGGAGGTTTTGTATGCGAGGGGCTTGGACTTCCAGCGGGCATGCATGAACGTGTTTGATGGGAGTGAATGGAGACAAATGGTTTTTACTACTTGACGTGCTGTTGGAGTGTGAGCAAAGTAACATTTATGAAGGGATTCAGGGAAACCGGCAGGCCGGACTTGAGTCCTGGAGATGGAAAGTACAGTGCCTGCACTCTGAAGGAGGGGTGTTAATGTTGCAGTTTAAAAACTGTAGTGTATAGCACCCTTCTGGCAAGACAGTGATGGAGTGAATGATGGTGAAAGTTTTTCTTTTTCGGTCGCCGTGCCTTGGTGGGAATTGGCCAGTGTGTTAATAAAAAAAAAAAAAATGCTCTGCGAATCCCTAGCTACCTTCCCCTCTTTCATACATTTATTAAACAAAAATACCAACCTCTCCAACACTACATCCTCCCCTGCTTTTAACATTGCTGTCATGATCCCGTCAGTTTCAGCTGCTTTACTCCCTTTCCTTCTACGTAATGCCTCACCTCCCCCACACTCTCATCCTGTTCTTCTTCACTCCTGAAAGATGGTATACGTCGACATTTAAAAGTTCCTCAAAATATTCTCGCCGTCTACCCAGAACCTCCATCTCCCCATCTACTAACTCCCCTGTTCTGTTTTTAACTGACAAATCGATTCGTTTTCTAGTTTTTCTTTACTTGTTTAACTCGCTCCAAAATTTTTTCTTTTTGACAATTTTCTTCTTATTCTTTTTAATAATTATTACAGGAAGAGAGGTTACTAGCCAATTGTTCCCGGCATTTTAGTTGACTTTTACAACACGCATGGCTTACGGAGGAAAGATTCTTATTCCTCTTCCCTATGGATATAAAGGGAAAAGTAATAAGACCAAGAACTATTAAGATAAAATCAAAGAAAACTCAGATGAGTGTGTATAAATAAACATGTACATGTATATGTAGTGTGACGTAAGTGTAAGTAGAAGTAGCAAGACGTACCTGTGATCTTGCATATTTATGAGACAGACAAAAGACACCAGCAATCCTACCATCATGTAAAACAATTACAGGCTTTCGTTTGACACTCGCTTGGCAGGACGGTAACCAAAAACTGCACAGCATAATCTAAATGAGGCTTAACCAAACATATATAGAGTTGAAGAGCAACCTGAGGACTTCTATTATTTATACTGTTAGCTTTATTGCGAACACCTGTACACTCGTCTTGGTTTCAGATTACTGCTAACCAGAACTCCTAAATCATTTTTGCAATCCGTAATATTAAGATCTACATTATTTAGTTTATGCGCGGCATGGTTATTTTCCTGTCCAACATTTAGAACTTTGCAATTGTCTAAATTAAACTGCATATGCCACTTCTCCGACCACTGCATCAATCTATTCAGATCATCCTGGAGTGCTCTAATGTCCTCATTAGAATGAATTTGACGGGCTATTGTGGTGTCATCAGCAAATTTGCTTATGTCGCTATTTATTCCCTCATATATATCGTTTATGTAGATTGTGAACAAGGGGCCCAACACTGACCCCTGTGGAACACCGCTTCTGATGTGCCCCATTCTGAAAATTATTCTGGAATAAGGTTACTGAGTATACCAGGAAAAGTGTACGGTAGGGTTATTATTGAAAGGATTAAGAGGTAAGAAGGAGAGTAGGATTGCAGATGAGCAAGGAGGCTTTAGAGTGGGTAGGGGATGTGTAGATCATGTGTTTACATTGAAGAATATATATTTTTTTTTTTTCAACAAGTCGGCCATCTCCCACCGAGGCAGGGTGACCCAAAAAGAAAGAAAAAATCCCCAAAAAGAAAATACTTTCATCATCATTCAACTCTTTCACCTCACTTACGCATAATCACTGTTTTTGCAGAGGTGCCCAGGATACAACAGTTTAGAAGTACATATATACGTATAAAATTGCACAATATATCCCTCCAAACTGCTAATATCCCAAACCCCTCCTTTAGAGTGCAGGCATTGTACTTCACATATATGTGAACTGTATTTAAATAAAGGTAGGGAAGTTTTCATTGCATTTATGGATTTAGAAAAGGCATGTGATAGAGTGGATAGGGGAGAAGTGTGGCAGATGTTGCAAGTATATGGAATAGGTAGTAAGTACTAAATGCTGTGAAGAGTTTTTATGAGGATAGTGAGGCTCAGGTTAGGGTGTGAAGAAGAGAGGGAGACTACTTCCCGGTAAAAGTAGGTCTTAGAGAGGGATGTGTAATGTCACCATGGTTGCTTAATATATTTATAGAAGCAGTTGTAAAAGAAGTAAATGCTAGGGTGTCACCATTGTGGACAATGGGCTTGGACTTGCAGCAAGCATGTGTGAGCATGGTAGATAGTGAATGGAGACGAATGGTTTTGGGACCTGACAAGCTGTTGGAGTGTAAGCAGGGTAATATTTAGTGAAGGGATTCAGGGAAACCAGTTATATTTTTATATAGCCAGGCTTGAGTACTGGAAATGGGAATTACAATGCCTGCACTTTAAAGGAGGGGTTTGGGATATTGGCAGTTTGGAGGGGTATGTTATATACCTTTATATATGCTTCTGAACTGTTTCATCTGGGCGCCTCTGCGAAAACAGTGATTATGTGTGAGTGCGGTGATAGTGTTGAATGATGCTGAAAATATTCTTTTTGGGGATTTTTCTTTCTTTTTGGGTCCCCCTGCCTCAGTGGGAGATGGCTGACTTGTTGGAAAAAAAAATGTATGAACATAATCATTTGTTTTCTAGGATGATAGAGTTGCGTTACAATGATGCCCTACACAAAATCCTATATTATGCCAAGCATTTCAGGCAGACTTAAACTAATAGTTTTGTTACTTCATTATTTCACTGATTTTTCTTATGATCTGTGTTCCATTTCCTTTATGTGAAAACCCAAGGCTAGATGTGGTTTTTTTGCTCTGGATTTGGCATACTAGAAGTATTTGTTTTTTCCTAGGTGTCTAAAATGTTGAGAGTAGATTTACTATATAGTTACCCAACCTTTCTAAGGAATCTTCAAATTACATTTAACATTCAAAATGCCTACAAGCATCTTCCATGCTCTGAGGCTCAAAATTGATTGTAATGTTGGACAAATTTATGTACTTAGGAACGTGAAATGGAGCTGCAAATGCAACAACAGAGGCAACGAGAAGCTCAGCGGCAGGCTGCAGAAGAGGCACGTCAGAAGAATTCTGGTCTTAAGTGGGCAGCGCGTGCTCAGGCCAATCCTGCCCCTGCCCAGCCTGTCAAGTCCCTCCTGGAGATTCAGGCAGAGGAAGAGAAGGAACTTAGAAAGGTATGACGTGATGTATAAATACTCTTATTATATCATGCCACTATAAATATGTATTACTGTACATATAAAAAATCAAGTTTTAGAAGTGCTTAAATGAACTTATTTGATGGAAGTCTGCATGCGTAGTTATTGCAGCTGTGGTCACTGTTGACATGGACAACATGCTTTGGAAATGTGCAAAGTTAATTAGTTTTATGTTCATTCTCCCTCATAGTTCCACCCTTCTTATCAGTCTTCCATCCCTCATTATTCCTTCTCCCTTCATCAATCTCTTTCCCTGACATTTCCCCTCCCCTCATCAATCTTGCCTCCCTGTCATTCATCCTTCAGTCATCAATCCCCTCCTTATCATGCCCTCTCCCTTCATTAATCTCTAACCCTTGTCATTTCCTCCCCCGTCTTCAATTCCTCCTCCCCCTTATAAGTGTTGCTCTACCGTCCACAGGATGTATATGGCATGCATAAGAAACTTGCCAGTTTATTGGCAGTATCCAGTGAAAATCATTTTTTTTTTTTAAACGCACTTGTCGTCTCCCACTGAGGCAGGGTGGCCTAAAAAAGAAACACTTTCATCATCATTTACTCAGTCACTGTCTTGCCAAAGGCATGCTGATACTTAGTTCAGATAATCCTCCATATTGCAGATACCCCCCACCCCCTCCTTCAGAGTGCAAACACTACTTCCCACCTTCAGGACTCAATTTCCAGCTAACTGGTTTCTCTGAATCTCTTCACTAAATGTTACCTTGCTCTCACTCCAAAAGCTCATCAAGTCCTAAAAACTATTTCCCTCCATTTACTCCTGTCTAAAACACTCTTGCACCCCTCAAACACAAAACCTCGTTTCTTCCCTCTTTCCAACCATTCCATGGGCAAGCCCTACTCTGCTTTCCCTCCACTACATATTTATACACCTTCCAAGTCATCATATATTGCTCCTTCCTCTCTGAATGTCCAAATTACCTCAACAACCCACTCAACCTTCTGGATAATACTTTGAGTAACTCCATACTTCCTCATCTCCAAGCTATGAATTCTCTGCATAATATTTACATTCATTTCTCTTGTTTATTTCCCAGTAAAAGTAGGCCTTAGACAAGGATGTGTGATGTCACTGTGGTTGTTTAATAATATAGATGGGGTTGTAAGAGAAGTAAATGCTAGGGTCTCGGCAAGAGGCGTGGAATTAAAAGATAAAGAATCACACATAAAGTGGGAGTTGTCACAGTTGCTCTTTGCTGATGACACTGTGCTCTTGGGAGATTCTGAAGAGAAGTTGCAGAGGTTGGTGGATGAATTTGGCAGGGTGTGCAAAAGAAGAAAATTGAAAGTGAATACAGGAAAGAGTAAGGTTATGAGGATAACAAAAAAGATTAGGTGATGAAAGATTAGATATCAGATTGGAGGGAGAGAGTATGGGGGACATGAATGTGAATATTCAGATATTTGGAAGTGGACGTGTCAGCGGATGGGTCTATGAAAGATGAGGTGAATCATAGAATTGATGAGGGGAAAAGGGTGAGCGGTGCACTTTGGAGTCTCTGGAGACAAAGAACTTTGTCCTTGGAGGCAGAGAGGGGAATGTATGAGAGTATAGTTTTACCAACGCTCTTATATGGGTGTGAAGCATGGGTGATGAATGTTGCAGCGAGGAGAAGGCTGGAGGCAGTGGAGATGTCGTGTCTGAGGGCAATGTGTGGTGTGAATATAATGCAGAGAATTCGTAGTTTGGAAGTTAGGAGGAGGTGCGGGATTGCCAAAACTGTTGTCCAGAGGGCTGAGGAAGGGTTGTTCAGGTGGGTCGGACATGTAGAGAGAATGGAGCAAAACAGAATAACTTCAAGAGTATATCAGTCTGTAGTGGAAGGAAGGCGGGGTAGGGGTCGGCTTAGGAAAGGTTAGAGGGAGGGGGTGAAGGAGGTTTTGTGTGCGAGGGGCTTGGACTTCCAGCGGGCATGCGTGAGCGTGTTTGATAGGAGTGAATGGAGACAAATGGTTTTTAATACTTGATGTGCTGTTGGAGTGTGAGCAAAGTAACATTTATGAAAGGATTCAGGGAAACTGGCAGGCCGGACTTGAGTCCTGGAGATGGGAAGTACAGTGCCTGCACTCTGAAGGAGGGGTGTTAATATTGCAGTTTAAAAACTGTAGTGTAAAGCACCCTTCTGGCAAGACAGTGATGGAGTGAATGATGGTGAAAGTTTTTCTTTTTCGGGCCACCCTGCCTTGGTGGGAATTGGCCAGTGTGTTAATTAAAAAAAATAATTCTCTTGGTCATGACATTCCACTGCCTCCAGCCTTCTCTTTGCTGCAGCATACACAACCCATGCAACACCCCCATATGTGAGTGTTGGTACTGCTATATTCTCATACATTTTCCTCTTTGCCTCCATGTTTTACATTTTTTGTCTCCCCAGATGCTTTAATGTACCACCCACCTTTTTCCCTTCAGTTCTGTTGTTCACCTCATCTTTCATATGCCCATCTGCCATCAAGTCCCTTCTGAAATATCTGAAAACATTCAATTCCTCAATGCTCCCTCCTTCCAATCTGATATCCAGTCTTTCAATACCTAATTCGTTTGTTACCCTCATCACCTTGCTCTTTCCTATGTTCACTCTTAATTCCTTTCCTTTTCTCACCCAACCAGATTCGTCCACCAACCTTTGCAACTGTGATACCATCCATTTCATATTAGATTCTACATATTTTAATCTCACTCCTTTCCCCAACACCCCACCCTAGCATTCACTTGTTTTAAAACCCCTTCTTTAACCCTTCAAAATACAGTGGACCCCCGGTATTCGATATTAATCCGTTCGTGAGAGCTCATCGAATACCGAAAATATCTAAAAGCGAATCAATTTTCCCCATAAGAAATAATGGAAATAAAATTAATCCGTGCAAGACACCCAAAAGTATGGAAAAAAATATTTTACCACATGAAGTATTAAGTTTAATGCAATAAAATAATTACAATAACAACAATAACAATAGAATAATTGACACTTACCTTTAATGAAGATCTGGTGATGATTGATGGGATGGGAGGAGGGGAGAGTGTAGATGGTGTTAGTGTTTAGAAGGGGAATCCCCTTCCATTAGGACTTGAGGTAGCAAGTCCTTTTCTGGGGTTACTTCCCTTCTTCTTTTAATGCCACTAGGACCAGCTTGAGAGTCACTGGACCTCTGTTGCACAACAAATCTGTCCATAGAGCTCTGTACCTCCCGTTCCTTTATGATTTGTCTAAAATGGGCCACAACATTGTCATTGTAATAGTCACCAGCACGGCTGGTGATTTTCATCCATAAAGGTTTGCAGTTCAACCCACTTTGCACACATTTCCTTAATTTTTGAGGTGGGCACGTGGATTCCCAACTCCCAAGGTTCCAGGGTTAGCCCAAACCCCCTTAAAAATCTTTTTAAAATTTCCATACTAATTCTCACCCTTTTTTCCACAGGGTTTGGGACTAAAAAAGCTTTCTTGGGGCCTGGTGACTTTTTTTTGCAGAAACAAGACCTAAAACAATGTAATATGGAATGTACCGAAGTATCCTTAGATGCACGCCACCCGCGGCTTTCCCCCACGGCAACGGGGGCAGTTCAGGCCGCACGGGGAAAACTTTCTCTTACGAATTGTATCGAATCCCCGGGGTTTTGATGGGATCCGAGGCAAAATTTTTTTACTTTAAAATGCTAAATAGGATTTACGAAAATCTTTTGCCCGAATAGGGGGTATGAAGGTTTTACTTTCAAGCCGGGGGTTCATATTGGAATTAACCCCCAATTCCCAACAAATTAAAGAAAAATTTTTATTCCCCCCGGGCCCCTCAAAACCCCCCCGACCCCCGCACGGGCAGCCAAGCCCCACCACTCAGTGTGGTTGAGTGTTTTGTTTGTTCATTTTTTTGCTATTAAAACTACAGTGTAAATGTAACCATTCGACTGCATTTTGGGGATGGCTATTGGGACAGGTATTAGAGGGTGACATCTTTGGTTTACTCTTAAAAAACACAGAAAAAGAACAAACATTTCTGCAGCAATAATAAAATAGTATTAATAATAAAAATAAAAAAAAATAAAAATAATAAATACGATAAATTGAAGAAGGAAGTTTACAAAATACGAGGGATGGTTGACCATGTCAGTGGGGCTTTGTTTAGCGGAGTGAACATTAGTCTCCCGCTCTTCCAAACATTCACAATAATTCATTGTGTTTGGTGTTGTAGATGAGTGCGACTGGAGTGGTAGAGGCAGTGGTTGAGGCAGCTGTTGAGGAAAGCGATTGAGGCAGGGGTTGAGGCAGCGATTGAGGCAGGGGGTGAGGCAGCTTTTGGGGTGCTTTTTGGGGCAGTTTTTGAGGCAGTGGGTGGGGCAGCTGTTGAGGCAGCGATTGGGGCAGGGGTTGAGGCAGCTGTTGGGCGCGATTGGGGCAGTGGTTAGGCAGCTGTTGAGGCAGTGGGTGAGGGTTTTTTGGGCAGCAATTGGGCAGGGTTGAGGCAGCGTTGGGGCGGGGATTAAGGCAGGGGGAGGCACTGTTAGGCAGCGATTGGGGCAGCGATTGAGGAGTGGGTGAGGCACTGTTGAGGACATTGAGGCAGTGGGTGAGGCAGCTGTTGGGGGCAGCGTTTTGAGGCAGTGGTGAGGCAGTGTGAGGAAGCGATTGAGGCAGTGGGTGGGGCAGCTGTTGAGGCACGATTGAGGCAGTGGTATTTAAAAAATTTCATGTTTTAAAAATAAAAATACATTTATTAATAATATGATATTTTTATTTATAAATTATGTTAAAAAATCCCACTCCTCAACCGCTGAATTATCATAAATTTTTGGAAGAGCAGGGAGCTAATGTTCCCCCCAGCATAAACAAAGCCACACTGACGATGTGTAAACCCACTCCCTCGTATTTTTGTAAATTTCCTTCTTCTTTTTAATTGTATTTTATTATTATTATTATTATTATTATTATTATTATTAATATTGTTATTATTAGCGTGCAGAA